TGATGATAAATACACCTGTGATCCTATGACTAGTTTAATGAAACTTGGGTCAAAATAAATAAGTGCTATGGTCTCAATAAAAGTTATTTTGCAAATGGTCCTTACAAACCCTAATCCACAGATTTTTTTAATTTGTTTAAGTTTTCACTTTGCTCCTCTAATATGGACCACAAATGTGAAGGAGGATAATATAGTAAAATTCTCCTTATTTTATGAATTTTCTGTTGTATACAATAAGATTAGAAATCATGTAGTCCGATGGAGAAACAAAAATACGATCTTTTACAACAATGACCAAAGTACTATAAGTTCAATTGAGAATTATTAATATAAACCAAAAACTCCCAAGCATGATAGGTAAATTCCATTTTAATATTTAAACCTTTTTATAGAAAACTTGAATCTACTACAATCGATGACATATTTTTATGATCTAAAATTTACTCTTCTTGAAGTTCTGAAAGTCTAGATATTGATAAATTTCATCCATGAATTGAACTCAAGAATTAATTTCAAACTTCTCATAAATCTCTTAAATATTGTTGCAGAGTTATAAACTCAGAGGGCAAACTTCTCAAGCAAATTGATTCAAAGCTGGTCAAGTCATCCTTTTTTTTTGAAACCCACTCTTTCTGCTCACAGCTTATAACAACCAAAGTTAGAAGAATAAATAGAGATAAAATTTGTATTATAAAAGGTAGAATCATAGTCCGATGAAACATAAATTGGTTAACATTAATTTAAGAAGGTAATAAATAAATTAATAATTTAGCATCCCACACAATAGATAAATTTGATGATTTATTTTCAAAAGAGGAAGGCATTTCAACTGAACCAAGTAATATATGAATTCTTAGGCTTAAGATGAATTTGTCTCAATGGAACATATTCATCATGATTTTTTAGACCATTTTCATTTTAGCAAAAATAATATATCAAAAGTAAGTTTATATAAAAAATAAAATCTTTCGGATTTAGCTATAGGATGACCTAAAAAATCAATGGGAAAGCTTCGACTAGTATTAATAAAAGCAAGCAGTATCATTCTATATTGATTATTTTGTTAAATGTTTAAGATGTAATGTTAAAACGTCTTTCTTCTAAAAATAATCCATATTTATAATCTGAAATACAGTTTTAGAAATATTGTCATAATTTTCGACAATATATCTAACAAAAGATGTTTTACGATATATAGAAAGTGTAGGGAGAGAACTTATAATAGATTTATCAAAAAAGATTTCAGAACCAGCATAATATCAAATTTGGAAAATCACACTAGTTTTTCTAAAATAGCATATAAGCATCTATAAACAAATTATGTATTTAGCAAAGATAAACGGTTAAATTATATAATTTTATCAATAAAATAGATTGTTGAATTTAAGAATAATTATTTTTGATTTATTTCGATCAGAAAAACTAGAAACTAGAATTGTTAAATAAAATAAATTTACACAAACCCAACAATAATTACATTCAAAAACAAATAAGAGTAATAAAATCTACGACTAAACTACATTTATGAATAAAACTACGATTTAGATTCTCTGCTGAAAAACATATTATAGAATTTAGAATATCATCCTCACTACAGATCAAAGTGGGCTTATATTATTTACATTTAATGCTAGTTTTTAGCTAAAAGGACTGATAATAACTTCACAATTGATGAAAGCGATGGTTGCATTACTTTAGATGAATGAATGCTAATATTAAAACATAGAGGAATAACCTATTGCTGGATCAGAGTATATAGCTTAAATTTTTTATCTTAAGTCATAAAAATTTTGATCTATTTGCAAAATCTTTAGGCATAATTAAAATAATATTATAAAAAAAAAAATACTTAAATATTTAAAGTCTAGCCATTTATACTATTATTTTAAATAATTCAAAACAAGTACATTTTTCAATACTACTATGCAAGTGATTATTAATTAGAATAAAATATAGATTATTTTTCTTATTATATAATATACTATTTTTTCGTTAGTAATCTAAATAGAATTTTTTCTATTTGTAGATTTCATTAAATTCATATCAGTTTTAGAAGTGTTTGAAGACACGTTCACACATCAATCTAAACATAAATATAAATATGCTATATAAAAAATTTTGAATTCTATCAAATATTATTTTGATTAAAAAATGTTCGCTACTTAATTAAATCTTTACAAGAGAAGGAATGCTCTAAATGCAATTCTATTAATTACAATGATTGTAAATGTAACAAATAGAAAAATAGTTTATTCTAAATTGTCAGGATATTTTCCATTATCAAACAATGGTAAAGATTCTTAGTAATTTTAAGATTGGTCCCTGGATAGTACTTTAACATGCTTATATACTGTCACTACATGTGGGACCTAAAATATCGTCTTTATTGATAATTATTCAAACCTTGATAATTCCCTTCTGGGTAATATATTCAACCTTGATCCTCACTATTAAGTCATCATTTCTTTCAAATTTTGGAGGTATTATTTGATTAAATTAGAATTGATACATGGAACGATAAGCTCTTTGAAGTATTTGCTGATTAACAAATTAAATATTCTAGATCATTCTCTGACTCTGATACTTTAACAAGCATTTGTCAAGATGCAACTAAGAGCGATGAATATATAGATATCTCGATTACAATTCCTCATTATAATCCAACTTTATGGATTATTTTAAAAGGTTAAGGATTTCGTTGGGGAATTTCAGATTTTAATTTACTTATTGATGAATGTGCTCCAGGATGTGTTTCATGTGATTGGTCTGAATGCTACGATTTTAAGTTAGCTGCTATAATTTCTTCTTGGCTAACATCGGATACCAATATTGTCAAAAAGGAATGTTTGAGTATTTGATTCTGCTATTTAGAATATGCTTTTGAATGGACATATGTGACATTTATGGAAACAACACTTAATTTAGATACTCATATAAAGATTACTTCTTATATAAGGTTCATATTAGGAAATGTTATTAATCCAACTCTTACCATAAAAATTGATGATTAATTAGTAACTGCATCATAGCAAGTGTAACAAAAGATAATTTGGTCAAAACCTCTTTGTAGTCATATTTAGATTCTAGAGTTAGTAATATCTAATTATGTACATACAAATCCAACTATCAAAATACGCGCTGATATTATAAAGCCAAAATATGATGCATTAGAAGAATAACCTTATTTTGGTGTGCCAGAATATTCAGTATTTATTATTGTTACAGAAAAAATAAAATAAATTTAATCAGAAGTATTAGGATTACCTTTTGAAGGTTGTTAATTAGATATCCCTAACTTTGTTGAAGGTTGTGCTTTCTGTGTTAGAAGCATATGCTTACATTGTCAAGAAGGATGGCATTTTACAGAATTAGATCAAAAATGCTAACCAACATGCGGAGATTCTAAACTTGTTCAGAATGAAGAATGTGATGATGGCAATCTTATTCCTTATGATGGTTGTTATTAATGCTAATATTCTTGTCCATCGTTTTGTAAGAATTGCATTAAGGGCAAATGTATCGAATGCAAACAATCCTACTAATTAATTAATGGGTACTGTTTGTTTATATGTCATTAAACAGATAGATATTCTGTTTAATAAACTGGATGTTTCAATTAAATTGATAATTTTTTAGTAAATGGATATTACTAACATACTTTATTTCATCAAGATAATTTAAAATTTTTTGTTTATTAATTTTTAGATTGTAACCCTTCACATTATGGGATTTTTGGATATAATTACAACTAATGTAGAGTAAACAATATATTATTGTGCAAAAACTAATTTTGGGACATTTGTTATGAATGTAAAGAAGGGTTTTAATTAAGTAAAAATATGAAATAGTGTGTCCCAGTATGTAATGATGGTTATAAAGTAGATTTTGAACTCTGTGATGATGGCAATCTAATTTAATTTGATGGTTGTTATAAGTGCTAATAAAGTTGCCAATTAGAATGTTCATTTTGCGTTAATTAATTATGTATGAGATGTATAGAAGGATGGGATCTAATTGAAAATTACTGTTTACCAAATTGTGGAGATGGAATAACAGTTCAAATTGAGTAATGTGATGATGGCAATTAAGAAGCTGATGATGGCTGTTATGAATGTCAGGCACAATGTTCTAATTGCAAGATATGCAATTATAATAATAATTGTTAAGTTTGTGACGAACACTTCGATTCAGTTGATATGATATGTTTACCTATTTGCGGGGATAATTATATTGAACCAGGTTTAGAGGAATGCGACGATGGCAATCAAAGTTAATATGATGGCTGTTATAATTGTTAATTAGAATGTGATGCTAGGTGTAGGAGATGCTAATATGGTCTGTGTTAAGATATTTGCAAATTAGATGAATTGGAAATTGATGGAAAATGTATTAAAGCGATTCCTGAAGAAAAGGATATTATTAATCTTGATGAGTGTCCGAAAGGATGCTAATAATGTTTATATGGTGAGTGCATGTATTGCTTGTCGAATTATCTACTATATAAGGGGGTATGTTTATAGATTGAATGCGGAAATGGAATACTTGAACATCTTGAAGAGTGTGATGATGGAAATTTTATAAATAATGACGGCTGTTCCAATGAATGTTAAATTGAGAATAGTTGGAATTGCTTTAGTAAGAACACATAAGTTAATTAGTGTTTCTCCATCGCATAAGCTTCTCTTGATTATTTCAATTAGACAAAGTATTACCAGTATACAGACATCGATTAATTTCCTACAAAGGATTCATTTAAAATTTTAGGATTATAACCAGATGATTATAATATCAAATGCAATCCAAAAGTTCTTATTTCATAAAATGAATTTAGAAATATTTAATATGAATTCTAAATTTATTTCAATTACTAAATCGACAGCAAACCTGTATTTAATATTTAGTTAAATGAAACTATTTTAGATGAAAATAATATGATTGTACCTCCAACTAATATATCAATTGAATTGAAAGTTCCTAAAATTTTAACTAGGTCTCAATTAACAGCCTCTAGGACATTAAAGACTGTAGGCAATGGTATGATGATTAGTTTATGCTGTAGTGGCCTTATAAAGTTGCTTTTAGGGAGGTTTTCAGATATAATTTCATTATTAGACATGCTATAATAATAATAGTTTTTAAAATACTTAAATTTTTAATATCCTTAAAATGTTTATGTCTATTTTGAATCCTCAAATTTTATTACTTTGCAACCTTTATTAAATTATATAAATTTTCCAGAATTTTATGAAAATATATTATCATAATAGTTTTAATAAAGTATTGGTAAGTTTTAAGAGTATGAAATAAATGCTGATTTCCTGACCAACATTCAAAGTTTTATATTTTAAATTTTAATAGGATGCAACTGTTACTTATTGCTGTATTTATATGAAAAATTTATTTCAAAACACATTTCTTTAGTTAAAATTTTTCAAATTATTCAAAATTCTAGATCAAAATTGATAAAATCTACTTTTATTCATCTTTATTAATTTAAAAGAAAGAACTTATAAATATAAAGGATCTTCAATAAAAAAGCTTTAATGAATTTCATTTAAGCGAATAGTTAGGATTTAATGTTTAAGGTTGGTTTATTTTTGATTTCTAATACGAAGTCTGAAATCAGAGAGAAAGTTTCTTTATTAATTTGTCTTTTTTATCTAGGAAATGTTGTGTTCATCCTCTTTTATGATTTTTCAAAAAATAAGGGTATGAAACAATTCCCATTAGCTATTCACATTAATCATAAAAAACTAATATTATTTAAATAGTGCTCCTTTCATTTTATATTAACATAAATTCAATTTTAACCTATACTTCAATGTCTGCTAATATCATTAGTGAATACTACTTATATAACTTTGATATTATTTTTCAAATTTAAAACAGAAAAAATAGAGATAATGACTATTTTATCATCTGAAATTCCAATAACAATTTTCATACTCTTAAAATCTCTTATTTTATTATTTAAATAAAATTCACTTTAAATACATAAATAAAGTTGTTTTAAAAATTTCAGCACAATTAAGTTTTAAGTCATCAAAAAAATAAAAAAAAATAATAAAAATAAAATTAATTTTCATATAATTCAAATAAAAATAATAAT